GAAGGCTAAGAAAAGTGAAAAGCGAAGCGCGGCTGGCGAGACTGTTAAACTCATGACACGATCCGTAGCCATCATGGATGACATGCGAACGTCCTTGACTGAGATGGTCAAGCTTGAGAGAATGAAGGTTGAAATTGCGAAGCTGAAGTTTGAGCGCCAGTATAATGTCCAGGTTGAGCTGGGAGTGGAGGAAGTTGTGCAGGCTTTAGAGGAAGAGTGAAATTTAAGAAAGATGTAGCGAAACCGGACTTTAACGTTGTGAAATTACTGTGGTTAAAGTATGTGGAACGGTGAAATTCTGGTGTAATTATTTTTGTTGTACTCTGGTAGTTACTGAAAACTGAAAACCCCGCTTTATGAATAATGAGGCTTAATGATGATGCAAATTATAATTTTAATTTATGCACTTAATAACACTGAAAGTTTTCATAAATTCACACAAACGGCGGAGTGCGGCAACTATTAAGCTGCTTAAATTGATATTCGGACACATTAATTTTTAAGCACGGAGAACCGCCAAAGAGTAGTAGCACGCAAATGCGACAAAAAATAACCATCTAACATAACCTAACCGTAAGCCGTACTGTCACTCAATCCGAATGCCGACAGGAAATGTCGAAATGTGACGGAATTCCATGATGAGAAAGCATGCAATGAATTTATATCTTACACAGACTGAAGGAGACCATGAAAAAGAGCGCCGCTTCAACCGTAAGTAGACCTATAAAAAAGGAAGAATTAATTACGTTTCGAGCTGCAAACTTGAGAAGGGCAGAAATATTGTCCGCTTCGGAGACAAACTACTAGTATGTACGAATATCAGTTTTTTTAAAAAAAAATAAAAAATAAACCGAGGCATACGTTGGTGTAGAAAAATATTTTTACAGGCATTTCAATAAGATTTCATCAATACACTACAATTTATAAAACAAATACTGCGCTCACCGATTTATTATCCCTGCGAATCTGGCAGCATTCGCGCTACGAGTGCGTTTTTGAAGTCACCCAACGTTCCTTCGTCAACACCATCGTAGTCATCCAGATAAAAGTCTTCAAGATCGTTGTCTATATCCGACGTAAATTCGCCCGCGGACTGGATGTCCAAATTATGAAGAAGACAGCAAACTATAATAATGTGCTTAATGGTGCACATGTCGTCATAATCCAAATAATTCAAAATTTTAAATCGCCTTTTCAAAACCCCGAACGCTCTTTCAACAACTTTTCGCAGACTTGACTGAATTTCGTTGAATTCTTCCTGTTTAGCGGATAGGCGGCCGTTCTCTCTGAACGGTGTTAGTACTTTTCGCGTCGCACGGTAACCACCATCACCTACAAATTACAGGTACTTGTAAAGCAAACACCTCGTACTCACATACATGCAAGTGCTTACACACAAAGTAATAATTATACGTAGTTGTTAGCATATACGCTTACCCAGAATCATCCAGTTCTCTGGAATTAAGGCTTCCAGTCCCGAATTATCGAAAACATTCTGATCGTGCACTCGTCCAGGAGCTCCAACGTACAGATGGATAAATTCCAGTGAAGAATTTACGCAAGCCTGTACATTTAAAGACAGTTCTCCTTTTCTATTCACATAACTTTCTGGGCGAAAGTGCGGCGCCATTAATGTGTGTTCCATCCACTGCTCCCAGTATTTTGGGCATCCACTGAGCACCATAAAAGCAGTCCTTTTCTTCAAACTCACGAGCCGAGCGTATCATGCCTCCTTCATCGGGAAAGTTAATCAGCGACCAGTACTCATTCTTCATTGCATTCAAAAATATCCGAAAAGCACGACTAGCAGTGGAACGGGATAAACCATGGAGTTCACACTGAGACCGTACCGACGATCCATGTGCTAGCATATGAATGCAGGCAGCTATTTTGCACTCTGTTGCATAAGGTTTTCTCGTCGTACTCCGTTCAAAATAAGGCCGTAATTTTTCCACAATTTCACGAAACACATCCGGATTAATGTGGTACGTCTCCAAGAACAATCGCCCTGGATAACGGTTGTAGAGATTCTGTGCAGCAGAACGAATTTCTCGTCGATTAACATTTTCATTATCCCCGCGAGACAGAAGTCCCTTTCTGCACTCAAGTCTTTTAAACCCCCAAATAAGTTCTGAATCACACTACAAACCCGGACATGCATACGGCGCCCACAGTGTTTGTAGTGCTTACTTCTGTCATCCGGAAGAAATGCAATCATGCTCCATGTTAAAAATATTTCCATAAACACGAAAGAAAATGAAACCTCATTACAGTGATTACACGAAAAAGAGTTTTTATAAAATTTTTATAACAGAGATACCAGGAAGCCAACCCTCTGAGGTGGCTTCGCGTACAAATATCGTTTTCTTTGTTTTCGACGGTATGCGATAAAAGGCGCGTTACCCCGCTTGATATGAAGAAACGCAGGGTTAGTACAGGATACGGATACGGTGCGCGAAGCATCGTATCTACCCGTTGCGAATATGGACGCTCTGGGATACGCTGCGTACCTCTGTCCCGAATCTTTTCAAGGGTAACCAGGTACGCGAATCGAAAACCGGCATACCGTATCCCGTATCTGCTGTTTTGAGACGGTGGTGTACTGTACGGAAGCTAGATTCGCTATAGATATGAGACCAGGCCTAAAAACTGCAGATGGGCGTAGTGCTGCAGTGGACGCTGCTGGGATGGCGCATAAATCAAAGTGAGACGGATCAACGATCGGCAGACGGGAGAAAGAAAGAAATTTGTACAAATGAAAAATACTACTGGAAGCACTCCGTGGTTCCTTCCATATGATTTCCAACCGAACAACTCACGACGATCATCGAACCAGAGTTACCAGATACCAGAGAGAGAGAGAAAGCAGCGTTCATCCGAACGTTATGAAGCGGCGGTTGTCATACGGCCGGCAGCCAGAAAACATTTCCGATCTAGAAACACCCGGGCGGTCGATATGGCGACAGAATCCTCGCGCCTAGCGGAAATGCGTGTGCTAAACTGCTAATAGATTTCTTTCTTTCAGGGCCAAGAAATCATTTTTATGAAGTACTAGTGAGTCGGCGAAGTCCGCCTGGGCAGGCGACCGGGCGCCGTAAAACGCATTTAATCAATGGAGCAGACAGAAATTCGTTAGACACACGCTCTGTCTAACTCTGTACTCTTGATTAAAAGCGGTGCCCGTTTTACGGTTTACGGCGCACTTCGCCGACTCACTACTGATTGTTTATCGCCGCGAGATACAAGAAATCGCACGCTTTTCAGATCTACAGACAGTCAATCGCAGCAATACAGTAGACCAAGGATATTACGAGTACAAATAAAACAAGGACCAAAAATCACTAAAGCTCACCAAAATCTGCTGCCAAAACATTCCTGGAAAATGGTTCGAGTGCACGGTCTCCCCATGACTTGTATTAAATAGGCAACGACGAGTTTATCACAGTGTCGCTTTCCTTCTTTTGAGTGCGACTTCGTGAAGTTCCGTGGTGTGCACGTTGTTTTGTACGTGCCGGGCGAAGACCCCGGGCGTTCTCCACGTTCTGATTTTTCTTCAAGTCAACGAGGTTGTTGAGCAGCTGCATGAAGCGCTGGAACACCGGACCGGCATGGTCGCTAAAAGCCCGCGCTGCTGCGGGCGCGATCTTGAGGCATTTGTTAATGTGCGACTCCAGAGCGAAGCGGCGCGCTTGCGGCGTGTCGCCGGTGATGTCCGTGCCCAGGAGGTCAACAGCGGCGTACCAGGCGCCGCGGCGGCCGTCCGATCGCGCCGGGTACTGGAAGGGATTCGTTTGAATGACGGCTTCCAGCCGTGCCACCATTTCGGGTTTATCGTAACGGAAAAAGGCCTTGTTGTCCTTTTTTCCTGTGAAGATGCCACGCAAACAGGTTAATATTAATCCGGCCGTTTTTCCAATTATGATAAGGTGAAATCAGAAATTAAAAACAGTTGTCCACGATTCGACCACAAATAACTTACTGATTTTCGTTCAATGCCATCAGCTGACACTCTACAGAATGTTTCGTTAATTGAAATTCTGATTTTTCATTTAATGGTAAACTTTTTTTTGGTTTCTCTCGTTTAACGTAACTTGCACGAATAACGTAACTTGCACGAATTTAAGTTTTTGTCGAAATATGGTTTGATTCTTGTGCTAGATCGAATGGGAAAAAGGCGAAAAAGCGATCAACGATTGGTAAAAAATATGTACCACATCGTGTAATATGATAAAAAAAATATGCGAAACCAGTCAAGCACTCACTTCGCGCGGAATCATCCTGAATGAGGAAATCGCCCATTGCAACGCCAGCATCTCCCGGCATTGGCATGTCGAATCCTTCCGTATCCGAAGTCCGACTACACTGCGCTGCATCGGCATCAGCTGATGATCCCGGCGGTATTTCGGATTCTTCCTCGTCTGTCCATAAAAATTCATCAGAATAAAAATATTGATTTAATTTTAAATATGTAGAAAAACTTCGATTTTCTAATATTTCGGTCACTTTGCTCATCGTCTTCTGCGATTCGTTGGTGAGCAGCTTATGAAAACGTTTAGACAAAGTAACCGGAACAAACAAAACTCAGAATAACTGACAAAATTACCTTGCAAATCAACTGCGTCCGTCTCAACAGTTTCTTCAGACGACTTATGGAATGCACTAGTATGTCGCCGCAATTTGCCCTTGGTCCGATAGCCCACCCGGCACACATCGCACTTATACGGGAACTCTTCCCGCTGCTTCCCGTTCAGGTAGTCGTACGCCTTCTTCCGATTCTTCTCCTTCATTTCCGTGCTGTGCACCTGGCGCTTGTGGTAGTTCAGGTTGGAGACGGATTTGAAGCTCTTCCCGCACAGCTCACATGGGTGATTGAACTCGGTACTGTGCGACAGCATGTGTTTCCGCAAGGCGATGGGGTTCTTCTTAACCACACCGCACACCGTGCAGACACTGACGGCGGTGCTGTTGTGCATTTCGCGGAAGTGTCGGCCCAGAGTGTGCTACACGTCAAAGGTCTTGGGGCAGTTCGGATGCGGACAGATGAAGCCCGCGGCTTGTCGGTGCTGCACCGCGTGCTGACTCAGTTCTGTCCCGGTGGAGAACAGCTGGGCGCAGAACAGACAGCGCAGAAAACGGTGGGACTAAAACAGCGCTACATGTACAAGCTTGTCCCGTAATTTCTATCGCTCTGTCAGAGAGGCAATTTCTCTCTATAGAATCGTTCCAGAAAACCTTTCGATACAATTTGTATGCTTTGCGGATAGCCTAGTGGTACCTCGCTCGGTGGAGGGTTCGATTCCCTCCATCGCCAGATTTTTTCCGAAGTTCTGTGCGAGCCGAGTTCTGGTCAGACATTGGTACAACTCGGCACTAACCTGATCGTGGTTCCGCAAACTTGGCTCCGATGCAAATTCTTTCTTGCACTCCCCGCACACGAATTTCGATGTCGGATCGTCTGGCTTCTCCGGATGTTTTGCCTTGATGTGCTGTTCCAAGGAATACACGCTAATAAACAGCCCGCAATCCGGACACTCCTGCCGCGGACGGTAGGCCTTCCGGTGCTCCGCCACATGGGCGATCAGCGCGGCCACCGTGGCGCACTTCTTCTGACACGCCGGACACGTGGTATCGCCGCTCTCTTTCACCTGTATTATGCTTTTATTATCGTACTTCAGTAGCCGAACACCAATAACGGACATATCTTATCAGACTATAGGATGTTACGTGGGGCCTTATGGGCGCCCACGTACCTTCGACGGCGAAACAGCGGCGAACCGGATGAGGCTTTAATGCCGAAATCTAATATGCGCACCGTGGCGCAGCAAACACCAGACTCAAGAGGAAGGATTCTGCAGCCAGTGCAACTGTGCTGCAGATCCGTAAAAACACCGAAGAAATGTATGGGGTGGAAATCCCCAGAACAGCAAAACACAACGGCGAATGGCCAATCATGAGGGCGGAGCTATCGGCCCTCACATCCCTGTACTGTCCAACACTGAGCCCCTGCGAATTGCATGAAAATGGCGTTATGCGCCGTAAATAAAAAAGTGTATGAAGTCAAGTCTATGCATATGCAGCAGTATAAGTAACACAGAAATAAATGAGAAAAAAAACACTGCGTAGTACAGGCCCGTCCCTGTACTACGTCCAATTGACGTTACTACCGGATACACGGTTCCACTTCGGGCGGCTCACGGTCATAGTACAGGCCCGTCCCTGTACTATGTCCAAATGACTTTACTACCGGATACACGGTTCCACTTCGGCCAGCTCACGGTTCCGTTCGGTCAGTCCAGGTCAGGTAATTTGATCCGGTCGGCTTAGTCTTGTCGGCTCGAATCCGGTTCGGCTCAGGTCGGGTTTCCGGTCAGGTCGGCTCCGGTTCGGTCAGAGGTCGACCTATTGGGTCAACGCACTGTCGCGAAAGATCCAGGGTCCAACCCGGAAACGGGTAAATTCCACAAATTCTTCAGCAGGGAAAGGTCACGTTCTGGGGAAATTTGGGCAGGGGTTTGGGGCATCGGTACGCTCGTGACCCTGCAAAAACATAAATACGCTGCTCCGGTGGGGATAATCCACTGCTCCGTCCGGGGAAGGTCGCCGTCCCAGGAAATACGGGCAGTGCTGTGGTGGGGGGGAATTCTTCGGCGTGGTGCTGGTGGTCGATCCGGCCGTAGGGATCGGAGTTGGTGCTGCTGGTCGCGGTGTATCCGTTCTGGTTTCCCGCTGAATCCAGGCCGCGTCCGCCATCGGCATCGCAGGAGACGATTCTCGCTCCGCGGCATCATCTCCATCGCCTTCTGGTGGAGGCATCCAACGCGTTCTGCATCGGGGTGCATTCTGCACGGCAGGTGGGTAATCCCGGGGCGCTACGGATGGAGCTCCATACCGGGTTAACCCCCGGCACAGATCGTGCCCTCAACCACGTTCTGCTTTGGAGCCACAGACTGTGGGCTTAACCATGATCGGCTACCATCACCGGCCCAGAACGGAGCCTTTAGCCTAAGCCCGCAGACCGCGGCATTTAACTACTTCTGCTACCAAAGAACATCACAGAGGCAAGCCACAAGGATGGCCGCCCGTGGGTATCCCAGCGAGGAAACTGCAGACCGCAGCCCTAACTACGATCTAGCCACTAACTGGACCCTCAATAAGGGATACAGTAGTAGTCTCCCGCAGATCGCGGGTAGCCACGATCACGCTACGGAAGGAACAGACTGTTCAAATACCTACCCGGACCCTTGAAGGCTCCGGAGTAGAGGCCCAACAGGCCTCCACCTATGGATGAAATTCTAAGTTCCGTCCTCTAGATGCGGGGAGCAACATTACCTACATCTGGGGAACGGAAATACCCCCGAAAGGAAGGATCACGGCATCGGAGGAAGATACATCACCTTAAATGCCTCGGTCCAAGAAACAGAGTCCAGAATAGTGGACCTGACCGGACCTGAACCCTCAGAACGTCGGACAGTCACCCCGGGAACCCAATAGGTTCCGGGGGAAGCGCTCAAAGAGGCCTGGAAACGCGGATGTGGACCGGGGAATGGAATCCACATCGGCGTTTCCCGGAGTGAAGCGTCGACCGGGACTCTCACCATGAGGCCACCGCCCAGAGGCAAATACCTTTCTTGAGAACCCAATAGGTTCCGGGAGCGGTGCCCAACAGGCCGCCAGTAGGCGCTCGAAGCCCTATCCCCCGCGGATGATCCGGGCAGAACTGAGACCTCGTCGTCTGCGAGGGATAACCTCCGCGAACCCTCGGCCACACTGGACCGGACTTGGCAAGCACGTTGCTTGGACGGCTCAGTGTGACCACCTAACGGAAAGGGCCAACGGTGCTTTTGGAAGAGAAGCCTCCTAAAACCAACGACCCTTCGTACGAAAGGCGGTTTGTCTGCACAGTACAGCACGAGCTGCTGTTCTGCACAGGCAACCCACTACGGCAGAAGAGCCTGCGACCCTCGGATGGATCCTCGGATGAACCCGATAAGCACGAGTTCAACTCAACTGGACCGTACCGGACGTTCCCCCTGGTTTCCCCTGGCTGAACCGGACAGCATGTTCCGGTCACGGGCGACAATGACAGGAGGCTAACCGAGCCAATAAGCGAGGATACGCAACGTCACTGACGGAGCCTAGATACGTGACGGTTTGGCTGGCTTCAGCTGAATCAGCCACTCCGCCACCGTCGACCACTTCGGCAGAGCCTGTGGAGGAAAAACCATAAAAATGTCCCGGACCATGTTGGATCCCGACCAGGTGTTGTCCCTGGCTAGGGACACCCCGACGTCAGGAGTGGAATAGCCACAGACCGTGGTCCGAACCACGAATCTGCTACGTCAACGGGACGAATCGCACGAAAGGCGGGTGGCTAGCGGCGAGCTGCGCAGACGCAGCTCGTCCCTGGTCAGCCACTCCGGCAGAAGGATCCCGGCCAGTCCTCTAACTGGGACTTCGGAGCCCAATAGGCTCCCACCCATTCAATCCAGCCAGGACTTCTACGGCAAAGGAAGCCTTAAACTCTCTACCGATGAAGCCTATGATAACCTCCATCCTCATGGAGTCAGAATAGCGGCTGGACAAGCACAACCGCACAACACAGTTGTCCATGTTCAGCCCTCCGGCAGAAGGATCCCGTGGGACAGGTCCCATACCTTCGACCACAGAGCCCAATAGGCTCTCACCCATTACCGAAATGCGGGTCACGGAGCTAGGGAAGCAACTCCTCCTTAACCCCGGCCCCGCAGGACTTACCCGTGGACCCTACCAGCCCGGACCTTGTCAGCTTAGGAAGCAATGAAGCCCTATACTGATGAAGTACAGGTGAAGGCCTAACCATTGGACCCTTCGTACGAAAGAAGGTTAACCAGGGGCTCCCAGCACAGTCTGCTGGGTCCCTCTGTTTAAACCCCGACCGACAGAAGGATCTCGGTGGAATAGCGGTTCCGTAACTCGAACCGTTAGAGCCCAAAAGGCTCTACCCACCGACCGAATGTGGACCGCGTTGGCCTGGAAGCAGAATCTCCTGACCACTCGATCCACGGGACCCAATCCCCGGACTTCAAACCAAAGAGAATTCCGCTAACATGGCGCGGAACACGTCACTGCCGCGTTCAACGCCGTGTTTGCCAATGCACCCATGGGTAACCCGGGACTTGGAGCATTAGCTGGCTGTACTTAAACCAGCGCTGAGCCCAATAGGCTCTGGCAAAAGATACTGACTCCACCCGGGATCCCTCGTACGAAAAGCTACGAACCATTGTGGAGGAGGGTAACCCGCTCCGCTCCAATGGCTCGTCCCTCCGGCAGAAGGACTCCGGACTTCGGAAGACGCCATAACGCAGATCGCATTAACCATGATCTTCACCTCGGGGCTGCTTGCAGAGACCCAATAGGTCCCTAGCATAGCTTAGTCCCTAGCATAGCTTGAACCATGATCTCTACCTGTACGGTACTAGTAGAGGCCCAATAGGCCTCTAGCCCGGAGAAACCCCCTTCGGAACGGATGGATCGGGACATTAGGGCTCACTCGCACTTTCCCCCAATTAGTGAAATTGGTGGAACGTGGGAGTGACCGGCATGACCATTCACCCGCGAACCGGACCATGGTCACCTCACGGAACGTGTCAGGACATTAGAGCACACGCGTATCCTTGCCCGACCTCGAAGAAGATCGAGTAATGAGACGCGTCCGGCATGACTACATGCCCGGTGGAAGCATGGAAGATTCCCAATAACTCGGCAAGTAGGCCCAATAGGCCTTGGCCGTGTGGATGAATTGCCCCCAAGCCCCCGGAACGGATCGGACGTAGAGCGGCGCGCCAGTGGTTCGGTGTAGAAATTCCACAACGTACTGCTTGCGGGCCACTTCGACGAGAAATCCCGGAGTATGGAAACGGAAAGAGCCCAATAGGTTCTATCCGACCCCCGGAAGGATGTACAAAGACATCAGGGTACGCGGGTGAATGCATGTCGGCAAGACCAGCTTATGTGCATTCCTCCGCGTCCGACATGACTGTATGCCCGGAAGGACGCTACGGATACCAGTGAAACCTGCTGGATTACCCGGATAGGATCCAGAACGGACCTCCCGTGGAGAATCCCACGGTACGAACCGGCCAGAACGGACGTGTTCCCCGATGACCAAGACAGGATGCTTTGATACCGGCATCTCGGGTGTTCCTGCCTAAGTAGAAGCACGGGATCAGCCGAAGGGCGGACCGGAATGGACCCCGTCTTTACAATCTTAGCTTGCCTACCTCGCGGCTTAGACCCAATTAGGTCTGATACAGCCGCAGGAAAGCCTCTTCTTGCATGCTTTTCGCTAGTCGCCCTGTGAAAACCCCCGGCATTACCGACCATGGAGGTCGGACTTCCAGCAGAACATACCAGAGGTATGTTGGGCCAGTTTCGGTTGGTTCCCAATAGGAACCCCCGAACCAACAAGGACCGACATCGGACTCTACAGCCCAGAGGCTTATCACCACATCTGCAGGGCTCGGACCCTGCCCAGAGGCTCTGCATCCCGGTAACAACCCTATCCTCAGCGCCCAATAGGTGCCAGAGGACCATTTAAAGGGTTTTCGCCCGGGTGGATCCTCCATCAGACCATCAGCTGAGGCTCGCCATCGGACTTAGAACTTCTACCCGGGGGCCGTCAGTGGACTTAGAATTTTTCCCTTCAAAACCGGGGCTACCCTCGGATTCAACCCTTGGACCCTGGATTTGACGACAGAGTCCGGCATCAACCCTACCCTCAGCGCCCAAAAGGTGCTAGAGGGCTACCTAGAGGTTTTGCCCGGACCAAGTACCCAGCACATCGCGAAATCACGATCTAACGAAGCAGCCAAGGATCCCATCGGACTTTACCTCAGTAACCGAGGTTGCGAATGGACTTTAATTTTCTGACCGAGGTTAACCCTCGTACACAGAGGCTACCCCGGCTCAGACCCTTTGAAGCCTGACATTAACCGGTCCAGGTTGCAAAATAGGTGACAGGACGCAAAATTACGGTTTTTGTTCGGACGAAACCCTGGAAAACCGGTACTTCACCGGAAGATTCCCCTTGATAAGACCCAATAGGTCTTATTCCTAACCTAGAGAGGATGCCTTACGGCTTTCGCGTACTGCGACGGTGCCTCTCCATTCACCTTACCGTACAAACCCCGGCAACGGTGGTTCCATTCAACTTTAACCGGAGGATCCCCGGTCGGAATGTGAGTTTCATGCCCGTTTCTCACCCGGCTCATGGAGATCCATGTCTTAACCCGAAGTCATTTGGTCGGAAGTAAGTTTCGAGCCGTTTCTTACCCGACCCTCGGTGAATCGAACCGGAAACACCGGGTATCTCGAGAACTGATGCCTCGAACCCGGATGACCGGACATCCAGTGGACTGGAGCCCCCGTGTGTGGATTAGCTCTAGTCGGAATGAGCACCCGGACTAAAGTCCCGGACCAAAGACTTTGAGTTTACTTTTTTTTTTACTCGGAATGATGTTCTCATTTTTAGATCTGCAACAGATCTCTTTTATTAACCTGCTCACCAGGAATTGTGATGTTTTTTTACTTTAACAAGAGAAGAGATAGAGATTGATTAACACTATTTTGTTACTTTCGCCGTTACGGATCATCAACAGAAGCCTACACCGGTCCAACTACAACACCGACCGACCTTCGGATTTCTGCCGTGAGTTGTTCCGCCACCACGGGTCCGGAGGAGAGCGCGGTGCCGGAAAGACCCACGCCGGACACCCCCGAGGCGATGTCACCGACCCCAATAGGGTCGTGGGGAGCGGCACTGGGACGGTAGGAGTCGGTCCTTCGCAGGGGCTCGGACTCCGCCCAGAGGCATGTTGGGCCAGTCGCCATGGCAGCCTACGAGTATGGCAGCCAGCGACAGTCCCGCTTCCGGTGCATGGCTCAGTGGTACAATATCGCACACACTCACGCCTGCACGCACTCGCTTAGTCGACGCCGAATCACTGGCCTCGACTCCGCCTTGCCACACCTACGGCTTGACGTCTCGGCCAATCAGCGTTCGCCATTCGCTCGTGCTGGATCTGCCCAGTGCCGCATTAGGCTTTTCTATGTTATGGCTCGATCTGCCATTCATTTTCATTCATTAGCGGATCACTTGCTGTTCTGACATGATACTGGCCACATCGAGCCTTCATGTGCTTTGTGTTTTGGTTCTTGCCTTATTGATTCCTCAATAAAGCCTTGTTCTCACACTCGTGAGCCTTTGTTCGTTAGCTGTCACATGGTTCGTCAGCTGTCACATGAGGGCCGATAGCTCCGCCCTCACAAGGAACATTTTATTATAATTTTGAAAAGTTTCGTATTTTTTTGGTTTGATTTTATGAGATAAGAGTTACTCGACCCCAGGAGTCGAGTCCAGGACATACAATCTTAAAGCCAGAAGTACTACCACTAGGCTATGGGCAATTAACAAATTAACATTAAAATATTTTATTATAATTATTGCAACTACAGCAGTCAAACTGCATTACTGGCGGCTTTCACAGGCTACTGGAAAATCTGTCGGTTATTTGAAAATTTTATACGTTTTTTGGTTTGATTTTATGCGATAAAAGTTACTCGATCCTAGGAACTGAACCCAGTACATACAATCTTAAAGCCAGACGTAATACAACCAGGCTATGGGCAATTATCAATGTGGGATTATTATCAATGTGGGATTATTATGGGACCGTAGCCAAACCGCATTAGCGGAGATCACTTAACCAGGCTTACCTTGGTGGGATTATGTCCACGCGTGTGCAGCGCCAACAACTCCGCCGACTCGTAGCAGACTTTACACACCGTGCAGGCATGCAACCGCTTCGTCACCGGTTTGCGCGCGTCACCACTCCGCCGCAATGTCTCATCGGACACCGAATGGGGACTGCCGACGCTGTGCACCTTGGCCTTCTCCATGAAAATTAGGGTGTTCAGAAGTTCCATGTAGCGCTGGAACACCGGCCCCGCGGCGTCGTTAAACTGCAGCGCGGTTATGGGTGCCCGCTTCAGACAGTCCCGAATGAGGTGCCGGAAGGCGGAACGCGTCTTGTAGGCGGTGGTCGGGCCCACGAGACGGAGAGCGGCGTTCCAGGCGTCTTTGCGCTCCGCACTACCCGCAGCGTACTGGTACGGGTTCACATTAATGACGGCCTCCAGACGAGCCACCATTTCGGGATTATCGTAAGCAGAGTGGCACATGCGGGGCTTTTTGGGGGAGCGGGTCCGGCGACTCTCCGTTTCTGCAACAAAAAACCACACGGTGAATCGATAAAAACAAGGCGAAAAATCTGACTAACTATTCGGAGGAATATTCGTCCCATCGTCGTCGCCAGCATCCGCCGCCAACGGCATGTCGATGTTTTCCGTCTCCGACGTCGGACTGCACGGCGACGCATTAACATCAGCAAATGATGGCGACGGTATTTTCGTTTCTTCCTCTTCTGTCACTATAAATTCATCGGATAATGAGATTTTTTGGTAAAAATACATTTACTTCAGAAAGCGTTTTATAATATGGTCACTTTGTGGGACTTGAAATGGCACAGTTCATGATTTGCATATCCCCATCGGAGGGATCTCATGGCACTCCCAGGATTATGAAGATAGCCTTTTCAGTCAAAAGAGATCGCGGTAGGGGGTCAGAAATTTAAATCAAATTTTGATAATTAATTTTTGATCGTGTACTCAGGACTTTCAAGCAAATCGAACTAGTTTGAATACGATCCCTTGAGCGAAGTTTCTACTGATAAAACTATCGTTTCTGACAGTTTCCTTGTGGTTAGAAATCACGAAGTGGGGGTAGGGGCTACCATTTCAATAAAACATAAAACACTCAATAAACAACCACAAAACTAACCCATTATAGTAGGGTG